GGGGTGGGAGGGATGGGATGGCTGGGTGATAGACATTGGGGAGGGTATGTGCTACGGTGAGCGCTGTGAATTGTGCAAGACTGTTGAATCACAGATCTGTACTTCTGAAACAAATAACGCAACATATTTTAAGAAAAAAGGAAAAGAAGAAGATAACAGGAGAGGAAGAAAAGGGGAGTATGTCAGAGGGGGAGACAAACCATGAGAGATGATGGACTCTGAAAAACAAACTGAGGGTTCTAGAGGGTAGGGGGGTGGGGGGATGGGTTAGCCTGGTGATGGGTATTGAGGAGGGCACGTTTTGCATGGTGCACTGGGTGTTATGAACAAACAATGAATCATGGAACACTGCATCAAAAACTAATGATGTAATATATGGTGATTAACATAACAATAAAAAAATTTAAAAAAAAAATATAGAGGATCACAGGGCGCCTGGGTGGTATAGTCAGTTAAGTGTCTCACTCTTGGTTTTGGCTCAGGTAATGACCTCAGGGTTGTGAGATTGAGCCCCACACGGTGCTCCACATCCAGCATGGAGTCTGCTGGAGATTCTCTGCCCCTCTCCCTCTGCCCCTCCCCGCTGTGCACACTCTAGCTCTCTAAAATAAATGAATAAATCTTTAAAATTTGTATATAAAGGATCATAAGAGACTATTGTGAACAATTATATGCCAACATATTGGACAACCAAGAAAAAACAGATAAACTTCTAGAAATATAAAATCTTCCAAGACTGGATCATAAAGAAACAGAAAATCCAAAAAGACTGATTACTAGTATGGAGATTGAATCAGGAATCTAAAACCTCCAAAAAAACAAAAGTCCAGGACCAGACAGTTTCGCTGGTGAATTCCACCAAACATTCAAAGAAGATTTAATACTTATCTTTCTCAAACTCTTGAAAATTCAAGAGTAAGAGATGCTTTCAAACTTATTTTTAGGAAAAGAAGAAGGAGGGGAGGGAGAAGGAGAGGGAGGAGGAAGTGGGTGGAGGAGAAGGAGAAGAGAAGGGAAGAGAAGAAGGAAGGAAGGAAGGGGAGAAAGAGGAAGAGGAAGAGGAAGAGGAAGA